GAATAGAATAGAATAGAATAGAATAGAATAGAATAGAATAGAATAGACTTTATTGTCTCTTAGGGGAAATTTGTCATGGATGCAGGGGTGTATACAGCATAGCATCAGCTGCCCAAACAGACAGTAAATACACATACAATTAATATAAACAGCTAAAAAATGAAGACTACATACACAACAGTCTTTTAAAAAAGTAATTTAAATTAAAGTTTTTTCTGTCAAGACGGTGACATTAGCGTGTACGTGGGCATTGTTTTATTTTAAGAACCACCTCGTAGAGCTTCACGAATCATCTTAGTGGGTGTGCACCATGATTTGAATGAAAGACATTTTCCAGCACCTCAGGATTTTCAGCAAACTAGACAAGGTTTAAAAACATGTTTTAAAATAGAATGGGACTCCGCTGATCCAGATTTAGAATAATTATGCACAAATAAAGGAACTCATGATTAAAAGATCACTTCACGACTGGGAAGCATAGACTGCAGGATCATAAAGAAAAACTCCAACTTCTGAGAGTGCATAGGTTTTTGTCACGTTGGCTCATTGTAATGTTCATGGCTCTACTATCATGAGAAAACTGAACAGCAGTGGTGTGTTCACTGTTGCATACCTGTAATTTGTTAAATAACAGAAAGGTATGTAAAGATTTGTTTTGTGTAAGTGGATAAAGACTATTGTATGCCAGAACAATAAATTAATAATAATTTGAGCTTGTTTTGTTGTGTTAAGGTCATTTAGCTGAGGTTAGTGCTGGACAAGGAGGTAAAACCAAATACTCAAAGCATCAGCAGACTTTATTCACCCACTGGTAAAGTATCATAGGGTATTTTCTTCTAAATACTGTACAAAGGTTTTTATTTTTATTGGTTCTCCTTGTCTGTTTGAAAACTGGTGTTTAGTTCCATTTTTGTTATTGTAGACATTTAAAACTCAATAATAAGTTTAGAACATTTTTACAAGAAAACATTTTCCTCTTTTTCTGTAATCCTTTATTTTACTTAGGGTTGGCTTGTTATGTTGCCATAGGCTTATACTGGAGGACAAATTAACCCAATTTCCTTAAATGAATTGTTAAAATTGAATAGTTTTCATTTTATACTGTTTGTGATTCTTGACCTGCCATTGTGTATCTGTTCTTACCAAATCCAGCAGGTCGAAGCAGATGGCCGCTTGTCCTGAGTCTGGTTCTACTAAAGGTTTCTTCCTCATGAGGCGGTTTTTTCTTTCCACTGTCGCCTTCATGCTTGCTCAAGATGAGAGTTCTGTGATGGAGTTAAACTCTAAACAGTCTGCTCCTCAGATAAATAATGTTAAAATATTAATTTTATATATGAATGTTTCTGTTCAGTGCCCTGAGATGACTTCTGTTGTGACTTGGCGCTATATAAATAAACTGAATTGAAATGAACTTAAAGATGTGAACAGTAAATGTAAAAAATGGTTTAAAAAAATGCACTGCCGATGGTTTGAATAGATGAAGACGTGAATCACGTGGGGTAAAAATACAGTTGCAAGCTCTCTGCATGAGAAAAAAAAGTGTTGAGTAAAAATAAACCAAAAAGGAAGAAACAGCCGTTCTTTTCCATAGGTTCCTCCAGAAATAGTTCTTGCTGCAAACAAAGTAGTTCTCAAAGTTAAAAAAAAGCATTTGCTTAATAAAAAATAAATAAAAATCCTTACGTAAAGATGAACACAAACACATCACAATGGCACAAATTATTCTTCTGTTGGAGTGGCGTTAGTTGGAATTCAACTCAAAAGCTGTGAATTAAAGAATGTTTCTCACAATCATTCATCAACTGCATGTACAGGTATATGTTGATAATCTTGTTTTTATTGAATAAAAGGTAAAAACAAACAAACAAACAAAATTGTCATGTCTCAAAAAAATTATTAAAAATACTTTATTTTAAAATTATTGTTTTTCTTGTAGAAATTTTTTTTTTAAAACACAACAAACACCTGATCACACTGTTAGTGCCAAAACCATGAAACATGTTTTAAAGGAAGGTGAGTTCTTGAATGCTTCTGAACTGTGACTTGAATCCTGCCATACAACTGCTCCCTGAGTCTATTACATCAACTCCAACTTTGTTTTAAATATTTAGTTTCTGAACTAATTTAACACTCAAGGTTTTGTAAGATAATATTTATTAGCTGAAAATAAAGTTTCCCACTGCTTTCAAGTTTATTTTAACTTGTTCAAACATGTCCTTGGATTAAAAGGGAGGCCATCAAAAATGACACATCTTTTGGTTTACTTCCCACCAATAAGACTGTGCATACATACATTAAACGAAATATTCCCTTTTTATACACTGGGGGCATGACCTCAACCAGAAAAGGGTGGATTGCTCTCTCCAGGTTGAGGGTGAGGTTCTGCCTCAAGTGGAGGAGTTCAAGTATCTCAGGGTTTTGTTCATGAGTGAGGGAAGAATGGAGCGTGAGATTGACAGACGGATTGGTGCAGCGTCTGCAGTATTGTGGACTCTGTACCGGTCCATTGTGGTGAAGAGGGAGCTGAGCTGTAAGGCAAAGCTCTCTGTTTACCAGTCGGTCTATGGTCTACCCTCACCTATGTTCATGAGCTCTGGGTAGTGACCGAAAGAATGAGATCACGGATACAGGCGCTTGAAATGAGTTTCCTCCTCATGGTAGCTGGACTCTCCCTTTAGTCTCTCGGTTGGCCTGGGAACACCTTGAGGTCCTCCCAGAAGAGCTGGAAGAGGTGGCTGGAAAGAGATGTCTGGGTCTCCCTGCTCAAGCTGCTGCCCCCATGACCCGACATCGGAACAAGCAGAAGATAATGGATGGATGATGGATGGATGGATGGATGGACTCCATTTTTACTTTTCCCAGTGACCTCTGCTTGTCCTGCTGCAACAGGTTCATAAATCCTAACTTCTGCAGGTGGCTATTAAAAGTGCAGACTCCAAGTTTAGGCCACGTGGATAATAAATGCTCGGTCTGAGTCTGAGGTGCAGAATGTGCTGAAGATTGTGTGTTTCTCCCTGTTTGTCCTGAGTGAGAGAAGGCTATTTAAAGCTTCAGGGGAGGTGGAATAGGTGTAACATTGACTTGGAAGTGTGGGCTGCAAAGAGTTTGCAAAGTGGGACAGAAGAGTGCGTCCCTCTAATTTTCAAGCCTCTCAGCTTTTTCGTTTTTTTTTTTCTTCCATCCCTCCTTCCACCTCTGAAGGATGCAGAGAAACACAAGGCGAAATCATAAACCCAAAAATGTCAAGTCAATGTCGAGTGGATGAGGCCATTTCATCGCCTTAATGTTTCTAAGAAATATCCAGCTATTGCATAATGAGCTCTTTTCTTCCCCCCCTGAGAACATGCTGCCCACACAGCAGTATAAAAGAGGAGATGCCATGTTGTTAGGGCCCAAGACATTTACTGTTTGTGTTTTTGCACACTACCGTATTTTAACAGATTTTCTCAGGATTATTAAATTTACACAACTGCGCTTTAAAAATTCAAATAGCCACAAAAGAAGGAAGTTCAGATAGTTCAGCTGGTTTAGCAACAGATGCTAATCGTTTGTGGGGCTGATACAACAGAGCTGGGTTTGTTTGACCTTATTTAGCTTGGTGTGAGATGGACTGATGACTGTTACTCTTCCCTACAGTGGTGTTCAAGAAAGATGCTGCTTCTGCTGAAGAAATCAACCACTGAACACACCGAACCTCCATTATATGCTTTTTATATATATATATATATAATTAAATGGCCTAGAGGAGTTCATTGCTCATTGCCTTTCATGACAGTTTTAATTCAAGATGTCCACTCCATCCATCCACCACATTTCACAAAGTGTGTTAATGCTCAGCGCATGTGTTGGATAAGCGTCTCGGCTACAAACGCAGCAAATCTGAGCTGAGTATCTGTAAAACTGGCTGAGTCATAGCTCTCACACACACAGACACACACAAAGACAAAATCATTATAGCCCCGCTGTTTTGATAGTAAGCAACAATGAGAATGTCCATATTAATTATAAAGAATAAAAAACTTTGGCTTGAGGTTTTCGTCTAATATAATCTGCTCTTTTTTTATTATTATTCATTGCATATTTTAAGCCATGATGTTCTGCTAATAAGTGTATTTCCTGTTTAAAATAATGATAATAAGCAGAAGTTCAAACATACAAATGAAACATGTTGCATGCTGTAAGCTGCAAAACAGAATTTTTAAACTTTTTTTTTGTTTTTTGAGAACTGCTGACCACCTCTTTGCTAAAAGACAAAAAATGAATGTTTGTTGCATTCTCAAATCAAGCAGTCACTTATGATCAATATTTTGTTTGGTCTGTTGAGGAGATTCAGGCAAGCGTAATTACAAAGATTAATTTGTTCATTGCGTTCTAACAAAAAGCAAAACGGACACAAGTGATGAAAAGAACAAAAGGAGAGTGAGCAAGTAAAAGCAGAACTGGGACTGGAAAGACAGAGCAGAGTGATAAATGGCGTGTCCTTTATATAGGACGAGGTGTCTGCAACTTTTCAGCAGCCCCAGAAAGCAAACTTTGTGCCTGATATTATTCTGGGTCAGGCAGCCTCAGGGGGAGACAAGAAGCAGAGCAGGCCTGGCCTTTCATTGGCCGCCCAGCACACCGGTCCTGTCCCTCCTGTGTCGTCTCCATCAGCTCGGGGTGGGATCTGAAACATTTGCCAGCTTGATGTTTCTTCAGAGCAGAGCACACGCAGCTTATGTGTCAGCACAGACACAAAATATAAGGAGTCCTACAAGTGGAGCAGAGTATTTTTGTGTTTGAGCTGCATAAGGAACAGTAACACCCCACAGTGCTGTAAAATGTGAAGTTCACCCGCCATCTAGAGGACGTGAGGAGAATAAATCAGACTACATTCATAAATGCATGCTTTTGAAACTTTGTTTTAAAGTGAAACGTAAATAAATCTCATTAATCATTCAGTTCAGTACAAAGTTCTTAACCTCTAATATTTCTGTTTCAAGTCGACAATCCTGTACAGGTGAAGACTCTTGACACTCGCACTGACATTGCACTAGTCAGATTTATTTATAGAGCACATTTAAAACAGTTTCTGTTTTAAATGTGCTCTATAAATAAATCTGACTTGACTTGACTTGACTTGTCATAACACTTTAAAATAATGTCCATGTTTGTAAATCAGAATCTAAAATTAAGCGCAGTAGCTACATTTTTGGTCCTTGTGATGATATACATCAATTTCTGTTCATGCTCTTTAATATCAATGCAAAGTGGGCAAAATAAGATGGATTTGCAGGAGCTGTTCCAAGACAGCGAAACAAAAAGCCTTTCTGCACATTTTTAATTATTCTTTGATCAGTCTGTGTTTCCATGTATTCCTTATGGAGAGGCTTTGAAATTAAGGCATAAATCTTATTCAAACTAATCAAGGTCTGGGCATTTTAAAGAAAGATTCAGGTGTTGCTGTTTGGTTTTTCATCCTCCGTGTAATCAGCAGTAAACTAAATGTGGTTTAATTTGTGTTTTTGTTTATTTATTTTTTTAAATAAATTCCACTTGTACAAATATTAAGGTATAAAACAAGTTTCATATTAAAGATGTGATAATGATCCAGTATTATTCCATTGAACCTCAGGGGAATGTTGCTGATGAGCCACTTGGTGAAATACCGGTCACATTGAAGTCATGTTCCCTGCTGGCAGGGATCTGGGCCAACATCTCAGCATTGCACCTGCTGCAGCAGCGGGGCGTGGAAAATGGAGGTCGACAAAGTAGGAAATAGTGTCCTCTTTCAAAGAACACAATGTCTTTGTCTCTTCAGCTGTGCTGAGCAGGTTACAGCATGCAGGCATTGCAGAGGACGGGCTGTTTCCTGTCTTTCAAGTTTGGTGTCTCAGTCCGTCTTTTTTTAGAGACAGGGGTTTGTAAAGGAGGCTGCACAAAGGTTGATCCTATAAGTTTGTAGCTTCCTCCATTGCATTTACCCACCTGTGCAGGAATACAGTTTAAGAACAGGAAATACAACCACATGATGTGCACTTTTCCTAAGAATCATTTGCATTTATCTGAGTTTTATGGCTTGATTCTGAATTTCAGTCTCTTTGTGAATAAAACATTTGAAACTTCACATTAGTTGTGCTCTCGCTTCAGATGTAACACACCTGCCCATCAATAAAAACCCTAACGCTTTAAGTTAACTACAAGAAATGCATCCTCACTCCTGTAACTTTCTGAATGTCACAGCTTCTAGTTCTCTTAAAGGGACAGTCTGGTCATTTTTGAAGCGATGTTTTGTCAAATTTGTATCGGTTGGTAGTATCTTATCATCTTATCAGCTGTGACATCAATCATGGGCTGCTATGTTTTAAAAACCTTAAAAATAATTAAAAAAAGCCCATGTTTGACTGATGATTGGCACATGAACTAATCATTAGCCAAGCCTACATGAAAACTGTTGCCATTTTCTCCTAAAACCATGCTCTTTGGCTGATGTTTTGGCTGATAATGTACAAATTATTAATTTGAAAAATAGACACAAAAAAAAAAGATATTTTTGCTTGAAGTGCGCCATTCTGAACCCGAAATGCTAAAACTAGCTGCTGCTGCTGCTTTACACTTGATAATAGAACTCTACCAAAAAAAAAAAGAAAAAATTTTCAATGTGAATTTGATGCCAATGTAAAAAAATTTAAAACAGCATTTACTTTACATAACCATTATGATGTTTTTGAGATTTCAGTTGTTTTAAGATAATAATCCACCTTGGTCCTTGTTGAACTAGCCGTTAGCTCATCCATCTGATCATAATTAAATCCTATATTCTCCAAACTCAGGTCATTCAAAGAGCTGCCTACAACAGGTAAGACATTGTAATCACACTCCCTTTTCAAAATATCGGAGCTATGACTTTAATGTTTATCATTTGCTCTCAGTGGAGCATTGTTCTCACCTCTGGGCTGTGAAGTTATCTTCAGCTTTAAAGGAGTAATACAAAGTGTTTTGGTGGTAAAGCTGAAAGACATTGTCCGCCTCGTCGCCCCCCTGCTTGTCAGATAGCTTCACAGTGAAACCCAGAAGAGGCAAACTTTCTGATGCTACTTTCTCCTGTAGGAAAAAAAAAATCAGGGAAACACCTAATGTTATATTTATGAATAAATTAGTTATTTTTATTAAACTAACGGCTACATTTGCAGCAGATGCATTTTTGCTGTCTTGTGCACACAAGCATCAAAAGCTCTTCAGGTTAAAGGGGATCGCATGTTTCCCCTCACCTCTTGGGCTCGGTAGGTGTAAAGCACCTTGTCTTTTAGAAGGAACCACAGCCTCTTCCAGTTCTTTTTGCTCTTCTTGCTTCGCTGTAGAGTGCCGCTGATGGAGCCTTCTTCTGGCACGGTTACCTGCACGTCAAGAGCAATTTTTAAATGCCAAGACATAAACCAGCTGTTGCATTTTACACAATCCTTGTATTGAATTTACCTGAGTGAAGGAGGCTGTGCCTTTGCGATGTCGCCAAATATTGGGAGGATGGATGTTTTGAAATACAGTGGAGAACGGACGGCTGGAGCGGGTCACCCGAGGGCTGCTGTTTCCTGAGAGCACAGATACATCTCCTCCTGCAATGACAAACGACTTCCTTTTACACCAAAACAAAGATAGATATGGAGGAATAACTGATGGTACACCCTATGGGAATGATTTGTTCCCATGAGGCAAGTTCCTTATACTGATGTTAACTTCCTATCGGCACAAGAAAAAACATGTTGTTGTTTTCTTTTTCAGACTCTTTGTCTGAAGTTGGTGCCAGAATCAAAATGTGACCCTTGTTGTCTCCTACTGCTGGTGTTACAGACTAATTTTAACACAAACAACAAAACAGAACAAATTGTTTAATCCAACAATGCTTTTTTTTTTAATTGACAGAATAAATTAGTCCATTACTTGTAATTTCGTGTAAAAAAAAAAAACAATTTAATTTTGGAACTTGGCTACAAAAACAACCATCGTACTCCTCAACTATGTGCACAACAGTGTCAATAGACAAGATTAAAGATGAGTTTTTAATTGATCAAAGCCGTCTTTTTACCTCTCTTTTTCAGCTCGTTGTAACAGTGATCACATACTTTGACCATGCGGTCTTTCATGTACTTCAGTGGATACTTGTTTCTGCAGCAGCTTCGACAAACAATCTGTGTCAAACAGCAAAATGGAAACAAACACATTAAACACAGGATATAATCTGGTAAAAAAAAAAAATAAGCATGATTTTCTGCATATAGTAGTCCCTCGTTTATCGCAGGGATCTGTACCCTTGATAAATGAAAAACCACGAAGTAGGAATAATAATACAAGTAGTAAGTAGTAACAAAATCCATGCTTAATAATCCAGGTATACAATCCAAGAATTTTTTGACTGATGAAGACTTCTGGATGGAAGGTGAAACGTTTCAGCACACACAAAAAATAAACTGTCCAGATGACCTGACTGAAAATTGTTGGATTGTATACCTGGATTATTGAGCATGGACTTTGTTGGTTTTGAACCACTTTGACATGACTGTCGACGAGGAAGAGGGCCGGCACCGGAGGAGGGGGCGTGCCGAAGAGACCATCTTAGCGCCAACATAACTGATTTGTTCCACTTTGGAGTAAGCTGTTTGGGGGAAGAATCAGTTTTGTGTTGTGTGTTTCCTTGACTGATGAAGCCTTCTGGATGGAAGGTGAAACGTTTCAGCACACACACAAAAAAGAAACTGTCTCGATGACCTGACTGAAAATTGTTAGTAAGTAGTAATTTATTTTATTATTTATGTATGTATATATATATATATATATATATATATATATACATACATATACATATACACATATATATATACATATAGATATATATTAAGGCGTTTTAAACAATTCCCACATTCTTGAAATATTCTAAACAATGTTTCTAAACTCTAAACGTTCTAAAAGAGCACTGAATATCATGATTTCAGCTCCCTGCTTCCTCTGCTCTCAGCCACCTGCAAGTGCTCTTTGCCACGCCCACTTCTCCGCTCTGCACGAGAACAGCTGATCAGCTGCAGGAGGAAGCTTATCCTGTAGTGTGGGCTGCACAAAAGTGCAGGAGGTGCTAAATAATTTAAAATAATTTATTTTAAATAAAAATTCCATGCCAATCGTGCGGCTCATTCATCAATCAGTCAATTGTGTGTCATGTCCAATCTTATTTTGAAAAACCGCGATAGAGCGAGTCTGCGATAAACAAACCGCAAAGTAGCGATGGACTACTGTACAATCAGATATTCACCTCAAAATATTTTTTCCCTAAAATTTTGGTCAAGCTGAGACATCTAGGAGGATCAGTGCTGAGTATTTCAGAGGACTTTGGTTTCTTTGTGTGTGACTTACTCGTCCACAGCTGTGGCAGTGGTGTCTGCGAAGAGTGAGGCTGAAATCTGCAGTGCAGTTCATGCACATCACGGCTTGTGAGACAGGAACAAGTGTGGGCGCTTTTTCTCCCAGGGACAGACCAAGACGATCTCTGGCCTGGGAAACACACACAAACACACACACACATCCGGTGATTTATCATGCTGGGAAGCTTGATGACCAGACGCTGCACCATCACTCTCATTCTGGCAGGTGCAGATAAGCATGGCTGAAATAAAGACATAAGTGAGGACGCAGAGATATGAGGCAGGATTTACTCACCTCTCCTGAGCAGCTTCTGAGAGCCGCCGAGCCTCTTGTGTGTTCAGTCACGGTGCGGTTCAGGGTGTAAAACCAGTCCTCTCTTTCAAGGAAAGAACTGCAAACAGTGCACAGAAACTCACTTAACGGGACTGATCTAAATGTCAGCAACATCAGATACCAAAAACATTTTATGTGCATGCAAGCATCATAAAGTTTTGGGGTTTGATGGTAAATGCGATATTTTTGTCATTTTTCTTGTGTACAGTGTGACCCACCTGGCAGACAAAATGATGGAGATGTCAGTTTCTTCTATCTTTAGTGCATGTTGGACATTTTGTATATTGGGTTTACTGACCTGGGCAATTAATCACAAACATCACAAATATTAGGCAGACATAAACAGTGGAAGAAAAAACAAAAAGTTATTTCGGATGGGGAAAATCTTGACCGGTTTAATCTGATCTTTTAATGACTTTGAAAAAAAACTTGAGTTGGTAAAAGTTCACATCAATTCTTTATGGTTTTGAAAGAAAAACATTGCTAAAAGTCAAAGTGATTACAATATTTGGTGACTTGATGATGAGCTGACCTTTAACCCTGTCAGAGGTAACGTGTTCTTCAGTCTGTATTTCCCGTCCTGCTGAGGGTAGGTGTAGAGCAGCACGTCGTTCATCTGACAAAACACAAAACACTCAGAATATCTGCAGAACTGTCAAATCTTGAGAGGCTGCAAATGTGGTGAAATGTTAAAAATAAAGATACAGTAGATGTATTAGTCAGTGATCTGCTCAGATTATTCATGCAGTGCTGCAACTCTCCTGTAGGTGTAACTATAGTCTAATAGAAAGATTTTTTTGAAGTCTAAAAATATTTCCTTTTTTTTTTTTTTCTAAAAATGATAGTGAAAACATGTTTAAGGTTAAAACAGCTCTATGACTGAATCATAAAGTTATTCACACCTCATGGCCACTTGCTGCACTTAAACATTTTTGTTATACAGGTTCATAGTTTTCCATTAATGAAAAATTAAAGACAAAAATTGATATAACTCATACCTGACATACTTTAGGTAAAGTATTTAATTCTCATGTAACCTTTTTGGGTTGACTTTATTAATTTAAACCCATTATCTTGGATTTATTAATTTATTGCATTACATTTAATTTTTGCCACTACATCATTTGCTGTCTGTCTCTGGGGTTTTATTACTTTTTAATAAGGAACTGTCCACAAACTTGTTTTACTATTCATAATAAGTGATGAAACAAAGTCATTGTCTGAGTGAATATGTTGACAGCACTGACAATTGTAATGTTGTGACTGGGATTAGAGGAAATAAGATTCGCAAGACTTTTTTTTTAGATTTTGAGTATTACATGTTTTAAAGCACTGCAGAATAAACAGGTGCAACGCATCCATTGTGCCTTTTGAATTTGAATGTTTATAATAGTTTGTGGCTCTTTTTTAATAAATTAATCATGTGGTTTTGACGGAACAGTGACTGGTGGTGAAGATTGTCTTCAACAGTTATTGAGCATCCATCCATCCATTATCCAACAATTTTCAGTCAGGTCATCCAGACAGTTTCTTTTTTTGCTGAAACATTTCACCTTCCATCCAGAAGGCTTCATCAGTCAAGGAAACACACAACACAAAACTGATTCTTCCCCCAAACAGCTTACTCCAAAGTGGAACAAACCAGTTATGCTGGTGCTAAGATGGTGAGACCTGACTGAAAATTGTTGGATTGTATACCTGGATTGTTGAGCATGGACCTTTTTGATCCATCCATTATCTTTATCCGCTTCTTCCTTTTTTGGGTCGTGGCAGTCACTGGTACCCATATCCAGCTATCACTGTGCAAGAGGCAGGGGACACCCTGGACAGGTCCCTAGTCCATCACAACCATTCACTCTCTCACTCACACCTAGGGACAATTTACAGTTACCAGTCAGCCTAACATGCATGTTTTTGATCTGTGGGAGGAAACTGGAGTACCCGGAGGAGATCCGCACATGCACGGAGAGAACATGCAAACTCCACCAGGTAAAGCCCCCGGCCAGTATTTGACCAGCGAACTTCTCACTGAGAGGGAACAGCTCTACCAACTGAGCCACTGTGCCGCCCTGCTGAGCATGTTTGCAATTTAATTTCTAATTCTGATCATTCCCCTGTTTTCCATACTTTAAAATCATCTCTGTGAATTTGCATTTAGGAGGTTAAAATCCTAACAAATCAGAATTATAATATTTCTACAACATATAGTTTTAGATCTTGGGTAGCTGCCCTTCCCATGTTGTCAGCAAATGTCTGGTTCAGGATCTAAACATTCAGAAACTTCCTGTCAGGAAACTCTGCTCTTAATAGCTCAGTCTGGACACAGAAGTAAATCAGGGAGATTCCCGACTCTATTTTTCACACAAATTTAGGAAATTAAACAAGTTGTGATGAAGCAAGTTGTGTATATCTATATTAGAGTATCATATTAAAGTACATGTATGAACATTCTTCAGTCAGTAAGCAGCACTTACCAAAAACAAATGGCGGGGCTGGCGACTCTTCCTGCTGACCTTCATCAGGGTGCCCTCTTTCACAAAAACCTGACAGTAAATTCAAAAGAAATACACATAAGATCATCTTGTGCTGACAAATCAGGTCCATCTGCAGTCATCGGGCTTATTTTAGTCCAGCCTGACTGCTTAAAGGGCATGGAGGGGTGGTGGGGGGGCAGACAGGCTGGGCTGGCGAAGCTCAGACAGAAACAATGCTGTTATCAGACACGTACCCTGCCAGGATGAAGCAGGTCACGCTGGCCACGCACACTGTACGCTATGTTGATCAGACGCAACAGGTTCTCCTGAGAAATGCAGACAAAACAAGAGAGAAGGTGAAAGAAGTGTGAGGCTGAAATAAGGCAGACAAGATAGGAGTGTGATAATGTTTGGCACAGTCTACAGATGTTATCACCTGAATCCAAACGAAAAACAACATATCACCAAGCTAGAAGGCCTTTGCCTGGCATTAGATTAAATGTATGATTGGCCTCTGCAAGAAGTTACAAAATGTTTGAATCATTCAGAACAGCACGACGTGAAGCTAAATGCTAACAAGCTCATGAAGACACTAAGAGCAAATTACAGCTGAGCTTGATCAAAAATAACATTGGATTTTTTCCATCATAAACTTAAATAGATTTAGATTTTAGGAAAGCAATAATTCTTGGTCATGAGTTAACAATAGATGGGAGCAATATTTATATAATCAGGGCAAATTCATTAAAATAAATGGCAATAATTTGATTCAGGCTTTTGCAGTTCTCTGCTGTGTACTTCTTAGAAAAGTAACTTCTGTTTAACTCTTAATGGTTGAAACCAAAATGCTTGTGAAAGACTGAGGAGGTTATCAACTTTATTACAGAGAAACAAACAAACAAAAAAAAAAACCTTGGAGACGGCTGAACATGGATGGAAGATGTTGACTGAAAGCCTGAAAAACACATTTTTTTCTATCTAAATAATCTCCATTATTCATAAAATGTGTGCATCATCTACTTTCATCCATGTAGTTACCCAGGTTTTTCTTCTAGTATTTAGTTTGGTTGTTTTTGTTTGGTTGGTTGGTTTTTAGAGGGTTTATGCAAAGTTAAACAAACTTTAACTACTTAAAAAGGAAATTTCAGACCTTATGGAGTGTAGTTCTGAGGAAAGCTTATAAACTATTAATATTTTATCTTGTATAGATAGACCTTTGAATTGCCTCAGTTTGAAGAAGCTATAGCTAGTCACAGCAAAACCAAGACCAAAGTGGATCTGTGTTGTCTTAAAACCAACTCCAGTCTCAAGAACATTGCAGCAGTTTTTACAAACACATGAATATGAACCTTACTGTTGTCAGTTTCATTAAAAAGTAATTTCCGCAGAAGAAATGTGACATAAGGTTGCACTGGAAGTGCTACATCTAGCTGCTGCTGCTGATTTTTGCACTTATAATCACAAAATCTATGATGGCAGTGTGATTTATAAAAAAGCGTTTGTATAAGCCGATATGAAACTTTAAGACGGCAGCATTTTGTTTTGTTCTTGGCCTCAGTCAGACATCAGCTTGTCACTCTGGTCTAAATTAAACTCTTTTCCTCCAAACTGAGGTTGTTCAGAGTTATCTACAACATGTAAAACATTCATTGTTCATAACCTCTCAACATAACCACACTCGTTACAGTACTTTATTCCAGGAGTCCAAAGGGGCTGCAGTAGCTCAGTGGTTAAGTGCTACAACCTCATAATCCTGGGGCTGCTTGTTCAAGCCCAGACTGCTTCAGGAAGTGCATCCGGAGTAAAAACAATTGCTAAATCTTTCATGTGAGTTCACTTCCTGTGGCAACCTCTGCAGAAGGGAGCAGCTGAAAAAAACCTTTACACAAGTAGTAGTTGTCTGTTCAGAACAAATAATTACTCGCACAATAATTCTGGATTTGAGCAAATCTTATTGTAATTATTTACATTTTACACTTACCCCGTGTTTTAAGCTGTCATTGACCTGATCTGCAATGTCAGACACGACAGCTACAGCAGCTGAATGACACAAACACACACAAGGATCAGAAGGCTGACAGCAGACACAACAAATATTCACATTTGAGGAGAAGTTTCTTCGTCTCCGTGTGCACGATAAACTGAGTAAGCTGTCTGCCAGCGTCTCCGTGTTTAGTCTGAGGTGATTCTCTTGTCAGAGATGCTTTTTGAGATAGTGCTGCTGCAGCCTGCCTTCTCATGATGAACATTACAGTCTTCAGACAGAGAAAAGGGGCAGGAATGACTGTCTGTGGGCTCCAACAACTCAAAAAAACAGACTAAATGGGCTCTCTCATGGCCTTTTCTTCATGCCAAATGCACACAAACAAAGACACAGAGGCTAGAAAAGCTCTCTTGGTAGTAAGAACGAGCATGAACTGAACAGCAGCTGTTTGTTCTTGTTATTACACGTTTACTGCACCTTGGGTGTCTTCATACTCCTTGGAATCAGGAGAGAGGTTGTTCAGATAATCTGAGGAAAGATGAGGGTGGAAATCATCTTTAGAGAGTAAAACACAGACTATATTTCAGGAAATCTCCTGTTTGTACGTAAATAAATCTCGTCTTACACTTTTCACTCACCAGTGAGAATCATGCGATACTGAGCCACGCGCACGATGACGTGCAGGAGCTGCTGTTTGAAGGAAACTCTGTCCCCACCTGGGCTTTTCTCCTGACAAAATAAACACATCAAGCGAGCACAATTTCATTATTGTTAACCTTTCGTGTCATTTTTATTATCCATCCATTTTCTTTACCCGCTTATTCCATTTTGGGTCACGGGGGTCGCTGGTGCCCATGTCCAGCAATCACTGTGCGAGGGGCGGGGTACACCCTGGACGGGTCGCAAGTCCATCACAGGGCCACATAGAGACGAACGAGACAAACAACCATTCACTCTCTCACTCACACCTAGGGACAATTTAGAGTTACCAATCAGCCTAACATGCATGTTTTTGGACTGTGGGAAGAAAACCGGAGTACCCGGAGAAAACCCACGCATGCACGGAGAGAACATGCAAACTCCACCCAGAAAGGCCCCTGGACCGGGGTTTGAACCAGGGACCTGCTCGCTGAGAGGCAGCAGCTCTACCAGTTGCGCCACCGTGCTGCCCGTCATTTTTATTATTCATATTAAATTAAACTGGAAAATTTGCTCAGTTGATTAGAACATGATTTAAAAAACGGTGGCTAAAATGAACTAAATGACAAACAAATGACATAAGAAAACTCTCATTTTGAGCAGAAGCAACAAAATTATTTTAAGTACTAAAATAGCATTGATTGAAGAAATGTATGTGTCCGCCAACAAGTTTTAACCAAAGATTTTGTGCAATCTTCTAGTACTCTAAGTATGTGCTGGGGAGGACTCTCAGCTACTTCCACGCCTAATTTTAGGTTAATATCTGAAGAAATGACCGAGGTAGAGACGTTCTTGTGCTTGTTAAAGTTGGCAAGCTCTATCAGCCATTTTGAATTGGAGTTGATTAAAAGTTAATGGGCTGTAGCTGTACACCCATGATTATTTTCCAAGAAACATTAAAGTTTTGTAAAAATCCATCCAGTTGTTCATGCCATATTTTGCTAACAGACAGAAAAATGAACACACACAAACTCCTGCATGATCGCCTGCCTTTCACAGCTGGGGATGATAATTAAACACTATAGCTAACTAAAGGGTTCAAATACAACAGCTATACTGACAATTTTTATTTTCTATATACTGTAACTCTTTTTACACAGCAAATACTGGGTTAAAATGTTAAAGATGTATACACATTTTAGGTGATACGCCAACAAGATGAAAAAATGGCTTTGGCATTTGGCATTTTGGTGGCAAAACAGCAGGTTGTCCGGTCTTAGTATGGGGGAAAAAATAAAAATAAAAATAAACATTCAGTCAGCAGCCTCCTGTTTAAAGGACAAACAAAACAACAACAATAACAACAAAAAAACACCACTGGCATTAATAAAGAGTTTAGGGGAAACATGGGACTTTATCAACACGAGTGCTCCTAAATCTGACAGAAAACTGCAAAGCTCTGCAAAGACTCCTCGCCACCTCCTTCCCTCAGTGGTCGATAAAATGTAGGCAAAACCTTAAAAACTCCTGTGCTCATAAATGAGAGACATTTAGACAGGCCCAGTGGACATTCATGTACAAACCAGCTCTACAATAAGGGCTTTACTGGGAGTGTTGCTTTGACTGATGATTAAAGTTATTAACTCCACTGGTTCCACAGAGGTAACACTTCTTGAGAAAAATTAAGGTGCAGTCCTTAAAAAATTTTTTTTTTTTTTCAAAATCATTACTGTATCTCTGGATTTGGTGCACGTTTAATCTAACAATGTTCATGGATTATAGATTACATCATTTATAACAGACCTAAAGGGCTTGTCTTTTATGCAGGCTGTAAATCCAAAGAATAATCTCATAAACCACAAAGTCCTCTACCTTTATCTGCTGTAGGTGAGGTAGAGAAGGAGACATGTCCTGCTGTTATTCAAAGCTCCTGACATGAACCAGTCTTTCCAAAAAAAAAAACAACATTTAACTGAATTAATAAAACATACTTTTTACATTTTTGGCATTAAAACAAAATCTTTCTGGGCTACAGTGCTTTTATGAAAGAACCCAAGCAAAGAGAAAGGAAAAATAAGTTGGTTAAAACTTTGCAATAACTATTGGAATCAATTGTTTCTGTCTGTTAGCAAAATATCTCATAAAATACAAGGTGGATTTTAATGAAACTTTCAGACAGTAATCATTGGATGAACATCTCCCACTTATTATGGTTGAAGTTGACCTAAGTTAAAATGGCCACCACAGCTGATCAACCTTAGCTAATACGCACAGCTACAATTCAGCTAATTTTGCAATCATTAAGCTAATTTTGCAGAGGTAGTGGCAAATAGTCATTTATATTCTTAAGCAATAACTCATCTTACAAGTTCTCGCATTACAAGATTTGGCTTAATGTCATTTATGAGGTTTGACCAAAACTTTTTTTCATTCAACCTTTATTTATGCAGGTTAGTCTCATTGCGTCATGAGGACTCATTTACAAGAGAGACCTGTTTTAGACAAACCACAGATAAGGTACACACAACAATAAACAGCCATAAAATGCACATAAAAGCAGTGATATAAAACTAAATAAAATCAAGCTACATTATGAAACGGGGTAAAATACTAAAAACAGGAACATGTCTGCATTGAGTTTTGTATTGAACTTAACAATTGTTTAAAATTCCTTAGGTAGATAAAAGTGGACAGCTTCAGATCTTTTTGAAAGGTGTTCCATGTTATAGGAGCGGAGTAAGAGAAGACCCTTTTCGCTGAGTTCAGTTTGCACTGAGGGAACGCTGCAGGTAGTGATGTCTTGAGAGTGCACGCTGTAACTGCACTGACAATGTGACAAGTAGGAGGAGATATATGAAGACAGCAGAACAAGGAGTGATTTAAAGATGAAAATTTACCAGTGTGAGAGCTGCGTGAAGTTAATGTTGACCAACTGACTGAAGAGTACAGAGTTCAGTGATGAGTAGTTACAACCAGTTATGAATCTTAGCATGCCATGGTGGACAGCATCCAACATCTGCAAGGTGCTGGCAGGAGCAGTCACACAAATAATGTCATCATAGTCAATGGTCAGAAGGAAAGCAGCAGCTACAAGGCATTTCCTGGCATTCAGAGTTAAGAAGGATCTATTTGTGAAAAAAAAATCCAACTTTAATTTCAGTTTCTTTATCAAGTTTTTGACATGAGGCTTAAAAGAGAGATGTGCATCAACCAAGATTCCCAAGTATTTGTAAGAATCCACAAACTCAATAGGAATACCATTTGTAGACAACATAGGAGGAAGGACTGGTGGTACCAACTTTCTGTTTGAAAACAACATCCCTTTGGTTTTACCAGTATTTAGCACCAGTTTGAGATGGAACAAGTCCGACTGGATGATGTCGAATGCAGACTGTAAAAGCTGGAAAACCTTAGCATCTATTCTAGCATGACAATAAACAACTGTATCATAGGCATAGAAATGCAAGGACGTGTCAGGAATGTTCTGATCTACGTTACTTATGTAGATTTTAAAGAGAGTGTGTCCTAAGACTGAGCCTTGAGGTACACCATTATGGACAGTTAAATTACTAGAAGAAGTACTATTGTGTTAAACACATTGCTTTCAGCCTGAGAGATAATATGATCTCTGTCTCATCAAAAGCTGATTTTTGCTTAAAACTCCAGCATGAAAGGAGGTGGGTGATATGCATTCCTTCAAATAATGATAGGCCTTTAATTGTAAGAGAACACAGCTGTTTGTTTTGTATTTAATCAAATGAAAAATAGGAAAATAAAGAAAGAAAGCAGATAAGTTCTCACCTCAAACTTTTGAACAATGGCTGCAAAGGCAGGTGAAGTCCGGCAGCTGTCCTCCAGTAAACTTATGCTCCGGTCGAAGTGGCCGATGTAAGTGGTGAAGACCAAGAACTCTGCTTTCCTCGTTAGGAAGATGTCAGCAATTTTTTGGCCGTCCTCCCTTAAAAACAGAGATGATGAGAGAGTGCACCAGTTTGTTGTTGCATTTCTGTTTCTGCTTCAATCTGTGTTGGGCTAAACAATATTGCTTCACGTCTCACCAGTGTCTGACTCGACTCTCCAGCTCTGTGAGGATTTTGCGGTGCAGACTGTAAACATCAGGCAGCTCATTGAGAATCTCTCTGAGTCTCTCGTCATCCAACACAGGCTGCCCATCGTCCCCCACTGCAGTCCCCACTGCTTCCCGAAAGTCCTGATACACAGACGAGTGTGGAGATTTTGAGTTGATCTCACAGTCTAAATTATAATCTAACAGTCACACCTTACAGCTTTCTGACACTTCGTTCTCCTGCCATTTCCTGGAGACTAACTGACACCTTACTGATACTAATGCCTCCTTCTACAGGTGTGCAGTGGAGAGCATCTTGTGCTCCAGCATCAACATGTGTGGCATGGAGACTGCACAGCTGCAGAAAGAAAAGCTTTGCAGAGACTGGTGAAGGCTGCACAGAAGACTGTTGGAGTCAGTCTCCCCACCATCACAGACATTTACACCTCCAGATGCAGGAAGAGGGCCACCTGCATCATGAAGGACCCCACTCACCCAGCACACATACTTTTTGCCCCACTTCCTTAAGGCAGAAGGTTGTGGAGTATTAAGTGTAGAACCACTAGACTGAGGAACAGCTTCTACCCTGAGCCTGTTAGACTCATGAATCCCTAACCAGAAAAATCACTGTAATGCCACTTTAACTGGTGATATGTGACTTATCTGTGCTGCTGATTTTCCATGCCGCTGATCTCATGCTGCTGATTATCTTATGCTACTGATTATCTGATGCTACTGTATTCATTCATACCTATCTGCTCACCCCAGACTCATGTTCAGGCTGCTGCTGTTACACCATATTGTTTTACATTATTAGTGTTTAGTGTATATCTGATAACTTTTAGTGTACCGTTTGGCATTTGTTTAGAGTATATCTTAGATCTTTGTATACTGTTTCTTTATATACTTTATATTTCGCTATTTTTGGGTGTAACTGGGACCCTAAGTACATAATTTTGTTCTACCACATGCACCACATGACATGAGCTGGTAATGACACTAAAATTGGCTTGAACTTGAATTATATCAGACAGCAGGGATTACATGAAGTGCAAAAAAAAAAAACCCAAAAAACATATTTTCTAGGGCTTAAACTTTAGTATTTAAATTGCCAGATTATTCCCAACGCGACAGAAAAAATTAAGGAGCAGGATATGCTCCTTCTGCATTTCCTATGCTGAGGAACCGCTGGGCAAGATGTTTCACTTTAAACTTCATCAGTGAATGAAATAACTTAGTGTAAAAATTCAAACTGTGGTGCTTATAATGTGTGCATGTGTGGTGGGTTGTAAACTGAAAGAGAAATAAGCTAGACTTGAGCTAAAAACAAATTTAAAAAAAGAAGAAAGAATGCACAAACTGAAAAACCTGATGTGTAAAACGTCTCAACATGCTAACAAGCAGGTTCAGTGAGGATAAAATAATTATATCCCTATGAGATTTTTAAGTAAGAACAGTCTGATGAGACAAATAACAATAATAGTGACAAGTAAAGAACCTTGAATCTTTGAATGAGTAACAAGCATCTACCATCTTTATGCCATAATTTGTTGACCACAAAGGAAGCTCTGTTGTACAGACAGAGGTGCATCCTTCGATGTGTTAGCTTCTAAAACCACATTATGCACTTGAAGCTGTCGTCTCCTGTGTGACACAGTCAGTTTCTCATTATGGCTGTGGAGGACTTTTCTGCTCTGCCTATTTTCTCAGAATAACAGGCATTATGTTGAGATCCAACCTTTGGCTTCAACAGCTTCATCCTCTGATGTTTCAGCTGTCTGGCTGTAGGTGTAAAGCTGTGACTGGGATCATGACACAATTTGGTCTAAGCTTCAGCTGTTGGGCAGACAGCATTACAGTGGACTCTGGAGCACTTTTGATGGACAGAAGAACTTAAAAAAAAAAAGCTGCTCCAATTCTGTGGCTAAAACAGAAGCCTGAATCATCACCCTTCCACCACCATGCTTCACAGTTGGAATAAGGTGTTTGTGTTAATATGCTGTTTGTTTTTGTCAAATGTGATGCTGTTCATTAAGGCCAAACATTCACTTTCTCATCTGTCCAACATTATTCAAGAAGTCAAGTTGTTTTTCAGTCAAGTGTAATGCCAGAACACTTTGTAAACAAGCCAAACTTGTTTTCTCTTTTACTACATTACTGTCATGAACTGTAACATTTACCAATAGTTTCATAGTTTGAGATGTAGCTTATTATTTATTTATTTATTTATTAACCCATACTTTACTCACCTTCTGCAGCAGTTTGAGCCCCTTCACATGTCTGAGGGCAGAAAAAATATATAATTAGAGCTGATATGAAGGCATGGTTATTTTTGTATAGCCTGTAATTGAATGTTGACGTATTACAAATTTATACTTACAGTCTCTCAGTATCCACCAGCTCTTTCACAATGTAAAAGGCTCTGGATCGACCGTCGGGCTGTAAATAATCACAATGTTCACTGATAAATTTCTCAGCTTTGGAAGAAACTTCAGTATTTTGGCCCCAGTTCAACAAATAAACGGGTTCTCGTCTTCACGGCGTCTCTAACCATCAGTTAAAATCTAAATGATGAAGACAATCTGGCAGCAGCGCATTAACCCCCATTAACCTGCTTCTTCCTGAATACATCTGTCTAGCTCTGCCATCAACAACATCTTGGATATTCTACTACAGGTAGGAAAACAAACTGACAGCACATGTAAAATTTAAAGCAAACGTGCTGTAATCAAACTAAATGTGACCCATTAAGGTAAATAAGTGTGGGCATAGTGTATATTATACAGAATAATTAATATTTTATTGCAGAAATGTCTGATGGACACAACCTTTTCACGTTCAGTAATTATTTTCCATCAGTCAAAGTCAGCAAGCAGGAGAGCCAACCTGTCTGTCATAGTTGATGTCTAATGCACCATCTTCCTCATCTGAAGTGCGTCCTTGGTCTTCCTCGCACATCGTCTCTCGAACATCGACAACGTGACCAATCTGTGGAGCAGCAGCTACAGTACACACCTTATAGGCTTCTGTGTAGGCACTGCATGAAGGGAAAGAGCCACATCACAAACAGAAGATGCACACTGACAATTACTTTATCAGACACTGCTAGTATTGTTTATATACATGTCTCCATCCAGCTCCAAAAATGATAACTGTATAACCATTACACAATAAAAGCTGGTGTAACGTTTACTGAGGAGTATAAAGAAGCACATGCTTAAGTTTAAATAGCAGTTTGAGAATTATTTTTGTGTGCTTTATCTTTTAATATTTCTAAATCTATATCATATGTCCATGTTTTATGGATTTTATTTACTTTTTAAATATATTTGTCATTAATCAAAGTTCATCTTACATCAGCCCAAAGACAGGAAACAAGAGGGAACTTTTTCAATATGACTTTAAAGATGTTTAAAAACCTCAAGAAAAGTTAAACCATTATCATAATAAGTCGACTGTGTTTAATCTGTACCGAAAAGCAGAAGTTTTTTTATTTTTATTTTATTTTTCGTGTTTTTCGTAAGCTGAAAAACAGCTTGTTGCAGTGCATTTCACTACAAAATCTACATACTAAATACTGAAATAAATACTGAATACTGAAATAACTTAATCAAAATATTCAGAAGTCAGTTCTAATCATCTTATAACATATTTTGAGAGGTTCTCCTTGAGTTAGCATTTTTCCATGGTGTACTTCCTTCACTTGGTATATTTCCATTTCCAACAAGTATACAGCTTATTTTTTGTTTATATATATATATATATATATATATATATATATATATGTATATGTATATAAAAGCTGTGATTTGTTCCAAAACCTTCACTTATGTGAAAGTAAATCAGACAAATTTCATTTAACCATCAAAACCTTCTTTACAGTCCTTCATGTTCATTGAATTATCACTATAATAAACATATTCAGTGTTGAGGAAAAATGTGAATAAATAAAAGATTGCAGATCTGGAGCAATAAAGTGGTCTCCCAAGGCCTCCGGTGACAACTGTACCCACCAAGGGAAACATGGTGGTGTTTTATACTACAGGAATTCTTCTGCAGGGAAACTAAATGAATATGCTAATGTCTGCAGCTGAGTGGAGAACGTAAGCCATGCAAATAAAAACATGTTCCTAACTTCCACTTAGACCTCCAAATGAATATCTGCCTTGTTGCAATCCAAAAATCACTGGATTTAACCCCACTGAGATGCAAATTAACAACATACAAACAACATATGGATGCTCTGCGTCGTAAACATTACAGCTGCATGGCCCATTGCTGCTTATTGGAACAAACTAGAATGAGACATGGGGGGTTCCAGAAACATAGGACTTCAGATTCTATATTGGGCCTTTATATCACTCCCATAGACAGTGCTGCTGACACTCCTAGTTCGACTGCACTGCTGTAAGAAAAGCTCAAGGCAAAAGCTGCAGAGATAAATTACAAGAGGAGATAAAAAAAATAATCCTACTTGTCCTCGGGTTAAGTTTCTGGTGAATGAATGGATGGGACAGGGTGCCAATGATCTCCTAACTATTTGCTAATACAGTTTCTTCAGGCTATTGTTAAATTAACCACTTCATCTACTCTCATGCTTGTCCAGATAGCGTGGCACTCTTATTGCTATGATTGTAAAAACTCAAAAAATAGACAACAGTATCATGCGATTTGGAAAAGATGTAAAATCTTGGCTTGTGCTCAAGTAACACATTATTACAGACAAATGCAACCCAAGAAGACTAATTAAACACAAATAGTTATCATGTTCTCATTCATCATATTTACAATGCAAACTGAAAATAATGTGAACTTGTGATACCAAACTTCATCTGGGCACTTCCATTTTATGTTTCCTGTTGTTACAGTTCTGATTTAAACAAAAGTTTAAAGGAATTCTGAACCACTCCTCCCCAGAATATTTATAAAATTCATCAATAAATCCTGAAAATACTTGATTGAGCAAACCTCTACAAAGATCGAGTAAAATAAAGACCTCTTTGTTCGACCAATTTGTTCTACATAAATATTTCACCATACTTTGGAAATTCACTTAGCATTCATTTTTAGACCCTGGAAATTAAAATCATAAAACATGTTTTAAATAGTAGTACAAAAAGCCTATTATAGGCTGTCAGTTTTAATGTCTTAAGAACTTTTGGGGGTTTACATGAAAGTAAATAAGATATTTTAATTAAGTCTGTTAATTTGGGGCAGTTGGCTGTGGCAGCCATCATGTATTGGGCTGATTTCAAAAGTAATCAGTTGTAAATATACATTCAATTGTAAATTTCTGCAAGTTTTATTAAAATATCTGCAGTAGTTCATGAGATAGTTTGGTAACAGAGACACTAACACACACAGACACAGGCAAAAACATTTTGTCCACCTTTGCCTTTTGTTGCAGGTGATAATTAAACAGTGAGCACATTCTGACTGGTTCACGCCACTGAATGGCTGATATTAATTCATAAGCATATTCCAGTATCTTGTTTTATTCTGTTTGTTTGTTGACCTGATGGGATATATAAAAATTGATTAATGTCAAGCCAAATTTTGCCATCCTTTTCACTCAAGTCAATACTTTTGTGCACCATTCTGTGCTATTTTTCCTGCACATGAACCAAAGAACCCATGAAGAGGCGAGCGCTGCAGAGAGCATCTGCTGACTACAGAACACGCTGAGATCGTATCTCTGCCTGTTGTTCCAGAGTGGCTGGAGAAGAGCAATGACTCTAAAATGCTCTATTTTTCATCTTGAGGGGTCTGTATGATATGGGTAAAGCAAGCAGGAATGCAGAGGGAGTGTGTGTGTGTGTGTGGGGGGGGGGGGGGGGGTTTCACGTCAACACATCATATCCGATCAAACCAACAAACAATACCAAAGCAGGAACACAAGAGGCTCCACAGTCACAACCTGCGAGACGTCTTGTGCACCACAGAGACGATCGATGAATGAACCCAGCCTGTTTTGACTCAGAAGTGAAGAGACCCCCCCCTGCACCAGCATTTCCTCTTCCACCAAACATGCCCCAACAGCACAGAGACACACACAGTGAATCCCACTGCAAGGCAACAGGCAGCCTCCTGTCAGCTGCTGATCATCACAACATCAGGAGATGACAAATCTTTTTTCTTCAGGGAGACTGTTAAGCACATGCAGTGGCCAAGACGTCATAAAAAGGCTTGTGCTCATTATAAAAGGCGACTAGAATCAATAAGCCGATGTCCAACAACATCAAGTTACGCAAATACACACATGTAACGACGCATTAGTGATACTAGCTGTGTGGCTCCTCTGTTTCTTTTGACAAATATTCCAAGAACAAAAAACATAATGCTATTAATTTTTCATCACATTGATTAATCTCTATCATTTTTATACACATGAAACAGATGGAAATAGATTATTTTTAAGCTGATACCATCATCAAATTAATTTATTTTTGTTTGTTTTAACAATGGATCTGTTGCACTTCGTGTTTGATGCTGCCTATCAAATCTTTGGCAAATTATTCAAATTAATAAAGTTACTGTGGAAAGCATCAAAATAACTGACTAAGAACATCTATGCAGTGTCTATAAAAAGTATTCACCCCCTTGGATGTTTTACCCTTCAAGTGCTATTATAAACCGGTCATGGTCAATTTAAGTTGGTCTATTAGGCGTAAGAAATGTCAAAAATTTGTCATCGTTGTCCAAATGACGTTGAATTTCTACAGAGTAAAACCAACTGAACAAAAATTTGTAAAAACATTCACCCCCTTTAAAGTGATTGTCCTAATTGAACTCAGCAAAAGGACAGTTGAAAAGTACATCAGGGGATTAATACAGAAAGATTTCCAAAGTTTTGAACATCTCCAGGAGTTCTGTTACATTAATCTGTTCTGTTACCAAAAGAAACCGATTAGGCAGCCTTCATCAAAGTATTATAAATAAAAATGATCACACAGGAAACATGACATCCTATAAGGTGTCTGTTCTGCATCAATATTGCTCCTAATCTTTTCATTTTTCATCATAAATGTATAAACTTGAAGCAATAACCCAGAGTTAATACAATACATTGTGTAATTCAATATGGTATGATATGATACAAGATGATTTTGTACAATATAATATACATTACTGTCCCATTAGGGCAGCTTATTTTAGATTTAGTGTTGTCCCAATAGTTCCATTAACAAAAAAAACTATAAATCCATTAAAAAAACAACAACTATTAAAACAATCTAATATAAGAAAGTTATTCCACAAAATGCATATTGTAAAATTATAATTTTAAAAGAATGATCCAGCATTACTTAAAGGAATGTATATTGCTTGCTGCCTTTTATGTCAGAGTTTTAAAATAAAATAATCTTACGTTGAGACAAGATGGAGTCATGACTACTTTACGTTGTGTTTGTGCTCTGACTATGTGTTGGGACTGACTCAACTTCAACCGCATAAAATTTAAAGTCAATATTTGTCAAATGTACAGTTATAGATATTTTGTGTTTGGCTTTCTTGAATTGGATCATTAAATTATTACTTTGAGTTTTTCATTAAAATCCATTAATGATTCATGAAGAATTTTGCTAACAATTTAAAACAAATGAACACATGCACACACACATACAAACCTGCATGCCTGTCTTTCATTGTTCTGCTTTGCAGTAAAAATACATAAATATATATGTAAAGGTGTAATTGTTTAAATACATACCTTTCTGTTTCCTCAGTTAACTGATTTTTCTTGTCAAACCCAGGGAGGCTGCTCATGTCCACATAACCGTCTGTCTCGTTGGCAGAAGACGCAACCCGACTGGAACAGTTGAAGAAGTCTGTAAACTGTGGCTGAGGCACAGGCCTCCGCTGTGGCACCTGAACATTCTCATAGTCTGAGCTGATGGGAGGAACGTTCTCATAATCTGAGGTATCTGTGTTGGGGACAGAGATGGAGCGTGGCTTGGTCAGAGGAAGAGCAGCAAAAGAGATACGTGAGCGGTCCTCAAATGACTCCACCCGGACAACGCTGCGATTAAGGAAGGCCACGGAGTTCCCTCTTCTTCTGCTTTCATTGTACAACAGGAGGGTGGAAGCTGGCTCGGGTGAAATATGAAGCTTGCTAACTGACCATGAGTTTAGTTGTGGCGAGCTACCGACGCTCTGTCTGTCTAAATCCAGCCGTCTGCCTGGTGAGCAGAAGCTGGACTCAGCTGAGGACTTTGAAGAGGGTGGCTTGCCTTCTACCACTTGCTTGTGTTCTGATTTCCATCCAAACTTAAGCATCAGGAAGCGCTTTATAGAGGACTTCTTTTTCCTGTTTTTCTCTGCCAAGTCTGCCCCAGTGAGTAGTGAGGGGGAACTTTTTGTAATAGGCTTCTTGGTGATGTAGGATAGCTCAAAAGGAGGAGGAATATCCACCAGAGATGTAGGTGTGGACAGAGCACTGGACGACAGAGGAGAGCACCTAGAGAAGCTTTCAGATGAGAACATGGCATCTTTATGTCTCTGGAGTCCATCCCTGTAGATACACAGTGAAGTGTCCTGGCCCTCCATGGAGAGGGAGCGGGGGTATAGAGACAAATACTGTGGTTTAGAGTAGCTCCTGTGTCGCGGTGAGCTCAACATTGGGCTGCTGCTTAACGTAGGCTGTCCAAGTCCACTCAGATAGGTTTTCTGTAAAAACTGCACTCCCTTACTCTCCACAGCATTGGTAATCCGGTGTGACAGAGAGTGTGATCGAATCCCGACAGGCTTGCCATCGAAGTGAAAGACATTCCCAACACGTGAAGCTTTCCCTGGCTCGTCATAGACATGATCCTCACTGATGTCATGCTCTGTATCGGTGGTCTCATCCAGAAATGGCACAATGCAACCCTCAAGGTCATCCTGGTCTCTGAAGACATCAGAGTCATTTGGGGACAGCAGCTGACCCTCAGAGAGAGACGACGTCAAGGCGGTGTTGGTTGGCACTGTGATCGTTACCTGTTTGAAACTTGACTCGCTGTCCAAATGGTTCAACACATCCTCCAGTTCATAAACCTCGTCTTTGTCAGTTTGAATAGACAGTCTTTTCTGACTCGTCCTCATTTTGTTTTCATAACTGTCATTACATCCATATTCATCAATGCTACCAAAGTCTAAGCTGTCCTCTATTTGTTCATTTTCTACTGTTTCTTCATATTTCCCAGTCAAAACTGAGAGCGTACTCTCCAGCCTCAGATCGCTGTTTATAATGTCCTCTGAACAGATGTAAAGAGGCTCATGAGCTCGATCCACCTCCAATGCTAAATGTCTCCTTGTTGTATACTGTTTCTGATTATCAGGGATGGTGTTATAAAAACAAATGTCCCGCCAACCCTCTCCTCTTCCATTTTTTTTATTATCTTCTCTTTCTGTTAAAAAAACACATTTTGCATCAGTGTCCATTGAAGTTCCTTTGACAAGGATCCCCAGCTCATCTAAAGAAGACTCTGAAAAGTCGTCTGCCGTACTTCCATCTTCCTTCTTCGCTTTTTGATTGGCAGCAAAATACCACCGAGCTTCCTCATCAGTGCTATTAACAGAAATGTCTCCTCCTGAGAGGCCTTCTGCGTCGGCCAGCGCCTCGCCGGCACCACAACCCTCAGCATCCATGTCCTCCGTCACATCCGTGTCAATTATCTCTTCGGAATCAGCTGTGAGTCTGTCATCGCTAACCCAGAGAGTTTTTTTCAGAGAGTCAGCTTCCTCCGTCAAGGTACTGTCAGTTAATCTCCAGTCCTCATCCATTTTCTGAACAGCATCTTGGTCTTCTTCCTCCTCTGTCACCCATCTTTCCAGTGACCCCTTTGATAACATCTTTAAATCAGTGTTTGGCGACTCCAGGGTGTAGCCGTTTAATTGTTTCTCTCCGGGCAATGCGGTAATAACTCCATTGTTTAGGCCATTTTGTATCTCACATCGTCCATCAACCCCACCATTTAAAGTCACCACACTGCCATTACTGAACCCTCCCTGGTTGTCATTTAGCAGCAGTGTGACTTTGGGTTTTGGGGCTACAGAGGGTTTGGGACCCCTGGCTGCAGACAGGAGAGGGGAAGGCAACTTCTGGCTGGCGTGACAAACAAATCTTGGCTTTGGAGCAACTGATGGCTGGGTGCAGTCTAAAGGAACAACAGGAAAGGGAAACTGTAAGATTATGTGCTTTAAAATAGCTTACAGGGTCATTTGTGTGGCGTTCCTGTGACCTACATCTGTTCAAACACTTACAGAAAATAAACCTTAAATAGTGTGAGCCCAAGTCTTTGGTTGATATTATCAAAATTCCAGTTTGAGGAATTTTTGCACAGTGCGTACTCCACAACTAATTTTAGGTAGGAAACTGGTACCAAACACCCAGATAAACAAAATGTTGGGAGCCTATTAAACAGGCCAAAAAGACTAATTAGGTTCAAAGCAAAGAGAGAGTTTTCCTATAATTTGCCCACGTAATGGCTCAAGTGTGGATGCTGAAGCTGGACCGAGTCAGAATCTTGGCTAAATTCAAGCCAACACATTTTGTTCATAGTTGGTGTGAATGTGGGCACAATTCTCATGTCTGAACCCTTAAAGACACAAACCTGACCAAACTGGGCAACTCATCAGGGCCAACTGGATTTTATTTTAATTTAGGCTGCCAGGACACAGACATATGTTCCCATGGGCTGATCTAAGTCTGTAAAAATTTAGAGACTTAAAATACGACAAAGGTCTGATAATGAGTAATGCACGCTTCAATACAGTTCAAAAAGGAACACAAAGAAGTCTGAGGGATTTCCCTGACTCACTTCCTGCCATTCAAACGAGAGAGACCCCTGTTAGGATGCCTTTAAGTGCTATGAGAATACAATGAGATAAAAAACAGACAACTAAATGTGCAGTTCATACCATTAACACTAATTTAACCAAATCACTAAACAATATGAGCCCAGCAGTAATTTATGACAATATTAAACACAGAACTTACATGATAAAAGCTTAGTCCAAATGTTTTGATGGAAACTGTGTTTGGATTTCTATATTATTTAGTTTAAACTTTCAATGTTGCCCACAAAAACAGGAAAACATTGTGGACACTTTGATTATGAATTGTCCTCCAGGGATGTCAAAGAATAAGAAGGCAAAAATAAATAAAAATAAAACAAGATATGGTAAAGAGAAAACTATCCTGGCTATATGAAAAAAACTATATAAGCAACATGAACTGTTAATCCTCACCTGTGTTCATTTTGGCGACGCTGCCACCTCCAGCATCCCGTCCGCAAAACGCAGCTGTGTTCCACGACACTTTGGGCATAAAAATAAGTTAGAAAAATTTAAATAAAAATCAGATCCTGGCAGCAAAACTCTGCTGTACTTCCGCTCCAAACAAAGAAGGGACTGAGACTGAGCCGTGTCTGAGCCGAGAGCAGCTCAGCCGAGCGCCAGAGACGCACAGAGCGCGCAGGACGCGCCTGGAAACCAAATGCAGAGATTGGACCGAACGCGCGCGCGCGCACACGCACTAAAAACACCGGCATCCGTCGGCAGCTGCTGCAGGTCCAGGCAAGAGCAGAAGACACGCACATCCTCCTGCGAGCCACAACCAAGGATTAGTCAGATGTGTGGTGCAGATGAGTTAAAGCTCCGTGATAATCCTGTTCGTAAAATGAGCGAGAATCCACATCACAGCAAATGAAACGACCAATTAAATTCAAATGTGACTGGGAAAAAAAAAAAAAGAAAAAATGAATTCATCATGTTTTTGTGTTCACGTGTGGAAAAATTGTATGCGCACATGTTAAAAAGTGATTTCATTCACATTATTTCAAGTAGTATTTTTGTTTCAAATCCACATGGAGACATGCTCAAAATAATATTAATTACTCAAGTCTGTCTGTTAGCCAAATATCTCAAGAACCACCCGATAGATTTGAATGAAATTCTCAGAAAGTAATTGTAGATTAACTCCTGGAATCAACCTGATTCAAACTAGTCACCAGGTAATCAACCTTAGGCAACACAAAAATAGAAACAGCCAATTTTATAAGAAGCTAAAATTAGGTGTGTTTGTAGACAGTGATCCCCACCCCATACCCAAGTTTTTATTTTTATGTTGAGGTTTATTTTAATTTTGCATGTTCACACTAAATTCAAATTTCAAATTTCAAAATTCAAATTCACTAAACACTAAATTCAAATTTTGCTTTTTGTTCTATAAAACTGACGAAATTAGAAAAATGGACAGCCCCACCATATAGTATTACTACTGTATAAATAGTTTTCCAATGTGTTAGTTAAGCAGATTATAAAAACCAAATTGAGCCCGGATGTTGATGTTTTAGTTATGAAGAGAACAAAAGATACAATTACAGATCCAAGCTGGTTGTGATCAGTTTTATTATTATCCTAATTGAAGTAAATATTTTTGAAGTCTGGAATATCTGCATTGATAAACCAGCCTTGCTTCTCTGCACACCCATCTGTCTGTTTGATTTGATCCACAACAGCCTTCTTTTTTTATTATAACAAAACAGGAAAGTGCTCCCCCCCTGTTTCCTGCTCAACCCAGCTTCACATCCTTAGCAGCTCGTGGACACCAGTTAACCCCTCCTGGTGCATTCACTGGGACTGGCAGGTGGTGAAGCAAAGGAGGCTATTTTTATATGAGTTATAGTCAGCTGGTCATAAGATTTATTGCACTGAACACGTGTGTAGCAGTGTACCACAGCAGTAAACGAGCCCCATAATTAATAATAATAACCATAATAATACTAATAATAACAAGGGCGTGACTGTCTGTGGCTGATCAGTGCAGCAGGAGGAGAGGCGTTGCATGAAGCTCTTTCATATTTGTTGACATTTGTTTATAGTCTGATCTCACCTTTATAAAAAGGTCTCCTTTTATATGATAAAATAAAAAAATAGATTTGATCCCAGAGTAACAAAAGACAACAAGTGTTTGTGTCCATAATATTTCTGATGTCCTTTAAGGCACTTCCTGTTTGATGCTCCAACTTCACAGTTTCATCATTTTGTATTTTCACTGTCAACAGTAAAGTCATACAATATTAGTTTTCACATCTATAAAATTAAAAGCTGAGCATCACTCAATGCCCTTCCTGCCAGAGTTTTAGACAAAGATCATGTCGAGGAATGACAGAGTTGTACCAGTTTTAACCAAACCTTGAAAATAACACAATCTCATATTGTAAGATGTCACTCTCAGAGTATGACTCACCTTTCAGCAGTAGGTGAATATGACATTGTTGAATTCCAGTGGTTGAGGATACCATTTGATTGATTCGGACACTCTGAGAAAAAAAAAAAGTAAATACTGCTCCTCTGAAGCTTTACTGATGACTAAGCAGAGGCTTTCCCTTTCAATACCACATAGTGATGAATGCACCACACTTAAAGGTCAAAAGTCAATCCCCTTCCACATCAGGCAATCAGTTTGTAGCTACTGCCACGATTGTCAGTCTTTGATGGTCTTACTGGTAATGGTAAAAAATAAACTTCAACACTTAAAAAAGAAACATAAACTTTAGTGCTGATTTTCACTAAAAGCAACATCCACTCATTAAAAAAACATTATGCAGCTGCACCTCTGGCCTAGTTTTGTTGGTTCCGTTTTTGTGTTTTCATCTTGAGTCAATAAAGGGGAGGAAGATTAATTGTGTTGTGCAGCACCGTGCTGCAAAAGACAGATCGGATATGAAAATGTGTTTTAGGATGAGCAGCCATCCTCTCACATACACTCAATCAAAATGCCTGAAGGATAATGTTTGTGTTTAAGATCAAACCAACAAAACACTGCTTTTAAGTACTTTATATGTTCTGCTGTTCATCTGAGGTACTTTATAATGTGACTATACTGTGTGTTTTAAAAGATAGTTCAGATATTTTCAAGTGGGGATTTTTGGAAAGCTTATGAACAGTTAACATCTTATCTGTTGTGGATAGTTCTTTCCAGATAAAAGATGTCTAGATGACCTGACTGAACATTGTTGGATTTTTTTTTTACCTGGATTATTGAGCATGAACTTTGGTGTTTTGAACCACTTTTGCATGACTGTCTCAGAGGAGTTGACTAGGGCTGGCCCTGGAGGAGAGGGCGGGCCCCAGAGGCCATCTTAGCACCAGCAAACTGTTTTTTTCCACTATGAGGTATGCTGTTTGTGGGAACCTGTTTTGTTTAGTGGTTTCTTGGGCTGAGGAAGTTCTTCGGATGAAGGACGAAATGTCTCAGCAAAACAAGAAACCGTCCAGATGACCTGACTGAGCATTGTTGTATGTTATACCTGGATTGTTGAGCATGAACTTTGGTGTCATTTTATACATTTTTATGTTGCCATAAAATTTATATTGTATGGTATATTGACAGAAATATTATAATTATTCACGCAGGGAGTACACAAACTGCACAAAAATGTTAAGACTAGCTGTTGCTGCAAATGTGTAAAATTGTTAAAAGCGTAAAGTTTTTGTGACGGAGGAAAAGGAACAGAGAGATCTGGACTCTTTCAAGAGAACAACACCGAGCTACTGGTTCAGATATGTGGGCGACACCTGTATCAATATCCATGGAATAGAAGTAGAAGCGTTCACAAGACACATCAATTCTGTGGACAACAACATCAGGTATACCGGAGAGGAGGCCAACAACAACAAGCTGCCTTTTCTGGACTGTTTGGTGAACATGGAAAGAGAAGATTGAAGTTTGCACCTATTCAGATCAGAACCTTCTGTTTGACTCTCACTTCCCACTGAAACACAAACTTTCTGCCATTAAAACTTTACACCATTAGACTGAACCTGTCCCCACAAAAACAGAAGGAACAGAACCACAACAAAGAAGCTCTCCAAACCTGTAGATATTTTAACTGGACATTTGTCAAATCAGCAAACAAATCCCCCAAAAAATGCTGCAGCACACAAAAGAGAGAAGAGCAAACGCAGAAACATTGTCATTCCATATGTTGCTGGAATATCTGAGAAAGTCAGAAGTATTTTCTCGAAACACAACTCCCCAGTACATTTTAAAGCCAACAGGACCCTCAGACAGAGGCTGGTCCGTCTCAAAGACAGAACCCCCAAACTGAGCGGGGTGGTGTCAGTGCAGTGAGGAATGTTCAGACCTCTGTATTGGAGAAACTACACCTCCACAAACGCATGGCTCATCACTGGAGAGCAGCTCTTCAGGAGAAGACTCAGCGGCCCACCTACACCTCAAGCATAAGGGACACTCTTCTAAGGACCAAAACGTTCATATTTTGGACAGAGAAGACAGATGTTTGAGAGGGATGTGAAGGAAGCCATTGACATCAAATGAGGAAAAAATAAACTTTAAATAGACAAAGAGGTCTCAGATTTCAACTGTCAAGAACATTCAATGCAGCTTTAGGCCTAATTCCAAGTCAGCTTCACCCCAGCCTCAGACCTTCATGCATGTGACCAAAACATCTCTCTCGTGAGCCAGACAAAAACGAAACCTTACGAGCCTCCATTGTGAAGGGCGAGTAGTTCCAGTCTAATCTACATGTGAATCTACACAACCAGGCCTGCAGTTAAGATAAGATAAGATAGAACTTTATTGATCCCGCAGGAAATTGTTGTGCCAGAGCTTCTGCACAAAGGAACACACACAAGGAATCACACAAGATGTAATTCAGGGCTATTCAACAAAACTGCTCAGGGGGCCGTAGTTTCTGAAAGCCAATAGCTCGAGGGCCGGACATCCAGTGATTAAAATCATCAACCAAAGTTTATAATGACCTTTTAAATTTGTTTGTTATTGCATTGAATCATAAATGCAATAAACAGAACCCAAACCCAGAACCAAA